AGGAAGGAAGGAAGGAAGGAAGGAAGGAAGGAAGGAAGGAAGGAAGGAAGGAAGGAAGGAAGGAAGGAAGGTTGGTTGGTTACAGGCTGGGACCTGGTCCAAGGTAGGAATCCTCCAGCCTTTCTTCATTAACAGGATCACTAAGCAGGGGTGTCCATGGGAGTGATGGTGGTAGGGTCAAAAAAGTCAAGATGGCAGCCACCACTGCACAAAGCCCCAATGCCCCTAAAAGTGGGGGAGGGCTTTGCATAGTGACAGCTGCTATCTTGACTTTTTATGAGTCACCCGCTGGGGGAGATGGGCAGCATACAAATTTAATAAACAAACAAACAAACAAGTAAATAAATAAATAAATAATCCCCACAGATGCTCTGCTTTGAAGCTTCTGAAGCCCTTTTTTCCTGGAATGTTTGCACTATAGTTAAGAGTCCATTTATCAAATCAACCTGCAATGGCGTCTCTCAGCGCCTACTTGCTTGTGCTTAGAAATACCCCACTTCCTTTCTCGGCCACAGCACAAAACCTTACTCCTGGGTTCTCATCCCTACTCTAGTCCCCACTTTTTCACAGAGTTGTAGTTGTGGGAAAAATTAGGAGGGGGTAATGGGTCTTCCGGCTTGTGTCCCGGAAAGAAAGGCAGGATACAAATTGAGTTCATAAATACCAAAATATTCAGCCGCAAACAATGGGATAAACGTTGGGTTTTCAACGTGCAGGTGAAGCTGGTAGACAGCACCAACTTGCCGATCAGCAACGAAACGGTGAAGTTGTTGGAAACATCAAGGAATCTGCAGCTGAGCCAAGTGACGGATGCCCAGGGGCTGGCCCAATTTTCCATAGACACCACCAATTTCAAATATGTTTTTTTGAATCTTCAGGTTAGTCTCCTGGATTCCTGAGACTGTATTTGATGAGATACCAGCTCTCTAAAAGTGAAAAGAAATAGCTCATGAGAAGCGGCAAATACTTGGGGGGGGGGGGATCTCTCTTCTTTTCCTCATGTATCATGCATGTTATCCTTTGATAACATGCATGAAGTTTTGCATGTTAATGATAACATAATTTAACATAATGACATGCATGAAGTTTTGCATGTTATCCTTTGAAAAGTCACCTTTGCGATCACTCCCCAGCCCCTCCATGGGCACAGCCATGTCATTTCCATAGCAGAAAAGGTCCCTGGGTCTTGGTTCCCAGATGTGTTTTCAACTTCCCAACCTAGCCCACAGACTTGGGGATTTCTTCATGGTCTCCTAGCCAAGGATGGAACAGAACTGACCCTGGTCAGATCTAGAACGGCCCCATGGAAAAAAGAGGTGCAAGTGATTTGTTTCCCTCCCCAAAAGCTGGATTTTGGGTCCTTCACTGCTTAAGTGGGTTGGTGGTGGTGGTGGGGAGGTAAGTGTAGAGCTGGTGGGGGGGAACTTCTCTAGTTTAGGCAAAGTGTGCAAGCAGTGTGATAGGGAGCTGGGAAAACACGGGCAGGAAAAGTGACAATGGGCAAAAGGAGATGGGTGTGCAGGTGAACCTCGCTGTAGATCTGCTCAAGGGAGAAGAAGAGGCAAGCATTATGACCCACATATGGTCCATGGATAATGGCTTTCCTTTAAGCCTGGGCTGGGGGCTTTCTAAGCCAACCCCCCCCTTCCCTGCAGAGTGTTTTGCCATGTGCCAGGACTCTTGCACAGTTGAGTCTTCACAGCCTGTTTTAATCTCCACGTGACAGAAATGCCAGGAATATTCCATTCCATGGGGTGGGGGGGAGTGTTCCTCTCTGACCCACCTGGCTTTGGAGTAGAATTACAGTCTGATAGACCAGCAGTCAAACGCCAGTCGGGGTATCTGCAGAGGGGTCCAAAAAGTCACCAGGGCAGCCCCCACTGTGCAAAGTCCTGCCCCCTTTTCCATGCAATGCAATTGAGAAAATCAGCTTGTGGGCTGCAGCCATGTCACCAAAGCCCACTCCTTCTTTTGTGCATAAAAGGATAAAGAAGTGGGACAGGGCTTCAAGCACACAGCCATAGCCCCACTCTTGACTTTTTTGATCATCCTTGCGGGTGAAAGGTTCTCAGCCAGCCTCATGTCTGAAAATCTGTGCTTTTCCTCCCCATCCCCCACAACCCCAGGCTACATCTAAAGCCAGTCCTTGGTGTGGTCCTCACTGGGCTACACCCAGTCACAGTTCGGCATTCCACATAGTATCCCCGATGTACTCTCCAAGCCAAAGTTATCTACATATCGAGCCTGGGTCGGAGAAGTTAAGTTGTGGCCACCGTGAGCCGGTTCAGGTGCAATACATCCTTAACCGAGGTGACACGCAGGAGGACGAGATTGTCTTCTATTATGTGGTAAGTCTTCACATGGTGGCTGCATTCATGCAGCATGTTTACCTTGTTCTGCTAAACAACATTTCTCCAACACGCACCAGACCACAACATGAACATACTCTGGTGATCTCCCTTTGGCACTCTGCTCCCAGTGTTGCCTTTAATCGCCCTCGGTCCTTGAGTGAGTCCAGTTTAAGACCCTCTTAATCGTACCCTTGTTAGAGTGAGTGTATCTGGGCAAGCAAATCTCCCAGTTGTGCTTTTTTGGGGGTGTAAGTGAATTTTCATTCTTGCTGCTTGGACAATTCCCTACAGTTTTCTCCGTAACATTTTCAGAAGAGGTTTGTCCTTGTCTTCTTAGAATCACAGAATCACAGAAGCATAGGGTTGGAAGGGACTTGGAGGTCTTCTAGTCCAACCCCCTGCCCAAGGGAGGAGTCCTCATACCATCTCGGATGAATGGTTGTCCAATCTTTTCTTGAAAACCTCCAGTGATGGCGCACCCACAACTCTGGAGGCCAGCTGTTCCACTGCTTAATAGTTCTCGCTGTTCTCAGTTCTTCCTAGAGTTGTGAGAGAGGGACTGGCCCACAGTCTCCCAGTTGGCTTCATACCCAAGGCAGGACTAGAACTCATGGTTTCCGGGTTTGTGGGCTGGTATTTTTTACCCCTACACCAAATGTCAGCAACAGACCCACAGTTATGCTTCTGTGTTTTCTGCTATCTTGTGGTCATCCCAGTTAAACTGTGTTCTAGTAGTGTTTCCCCCTGTTCTTCTCCCACTGTCCAAGGTTGCCTTAAAAGTATTGTATTTGTGCTCAAGGTGCATAAAATCTATTATTTTATTTATTTATTTAATGTATATGCCAGCCATCTCCCCCAGAGGGTGACTCTGGGCGGCTCACAATTAAAATCAAACTTTAAAAACAGTAAAAATATAAATATCCACATTACATTGCCTAAAAAATAATACTACAGTATATAAAAAGGCTATATACATAAAAAGACTATATAATTCAAGATGCGGGGGGGGGGGGGAAATCAATTACTCCACCAGCCAATTCTAACAATGCGAGCCCCCATCAGGCCCCCAGGCCATCTGGCATAGCCACGATATCCTGTTGGGACGACTCAGGGAATTGGGGATGGGGAGCATGGTTCTGTGCTGGTTCACCTCCTTTCTTTGGGGCTGGTCCCAGTTGGTGCTGATAGGGAGCGAGAGGTCCCATCCTCGGCCCCCCCCTCTGTGGGGG